TTGCTGCAAAATCTTTGGAACAATTTTATGATACCACATGGCATTGTTTGTTCCAAGAGCAAATATGAAGTCTTGAATGTTAACTCTGATAGGAGACAATTAGAAGTATTGAAGTACTCAGCTTTCCAGGCTACTGTACAACTAAATATAGGTCGTTGGGATACTGCCTGCCAATTAAACAAATGTCTTATTCTCAGTGCTTAAAAAATGATTTTGGAATTAATAAGGAATAGTTGATGCAAAAAGAAGAAAAAAAAGGGAAAGGGAGGGGGGCTATCCAGCAGAAAAGATGAAATAAACATATATAAAATATCAGGAAAAAAATATACGAAGAAGAAAAAAGGAAGCAGGGAGAGTGAGCAGGAGAGCAGGAGCAGGCCAGCTCAGCATCACAGACTTGCAAGTGAAATATGCCTCCTGATTTTCTGCTGGTGTGCTGTTCCATTCCATATGCATTTTCAGTATTTTCTGCCTTTTCTTCTGCAAAACTCCCAGAGAGGCAGAATGCTATAAACAAGCAATGTGGGATGAATTTCTCAGAGCATATATCCAGTCCACCACCTCTCAAGACCCACATCTTGGCCTGACTCTCCTGCAAGATGGCTTATAGGTCCTGCTGTAGATCTCCTGCCTCCCTCCTGAGCAGAATCCCTGCAGCTCTCATGCATGCTCAGCAGCACTGGCATGGGTGCACAGCAAGCGCAGTGATGTGCACTGCTGGCAAACCGTGGATGGCACTCTCAGTACTAAGTGGTACGTGATGTTTCATTTATAGTTGCCAGCTGGCTAATAGTAGCCAAATGTTTGTTGCAAAGAGCGAGTGAGAGAGAAAAATAGCCATATCCTTTGGCACAGAGAATAGTAATAATCCTCCTCCAGAACAGGCTGGCAGTGCTCGAGCCAGAGCCATCTTTTCAACTCTGAGACACTATTAGATTCTCCATCCTTCTCTTCTAAATTCTGTAGCAGATTGTTTGGGCTGGAGATAGATGGAGACAAGAGGTCCCATCTGGTACCAGTTCCTCTTTCTTCTCTATAATAGCTCTAGGTCTTTTCACAGTTCATATAACGGAGGCGAAGAGTTGGAGAGGGGAGGGAGTGCCCCCAGGTACTCTGCAGGTCCATCATCTTCTTCTTTTTCTCTTGCATTTCCTTTCTTCCCGTTTTCTGCAGATAGGCAAGAGGCAACAAGCAGTTGCTCTCTGGTGTTCACGGCTCTATAATTCAGACCTGTCAATAGTTTCCAGGCTTGCTGCATTACTTCAGGGGGAACACACTACACTACAAGGGGCTAGACAAAGCTGAAGTGAAAAATAAGTTCCACAGCCGGGGATTAAATTTCACGTGATTTTTCTGTTTTTGCCACCTTTCCAAGACTAGGTGCCTTATTTTTTCACAAAACCTAGAAAAAATATTTTCATTATTTTATATTTTCAAGTCTTCTTTTTTCAAGTAACTGGCTCCACAGAGGACCAACCCGCATTCCCACCACCTCAATCTCAAGCCCAAGTTCTGCCAGCTTCTCCTGCTTTGTTACACAAACAGGACTTTGTTGTGCAAGTCTCCATTTCTATACCAAGTATTTTCCATAAGCAGAAGGGATGGAGCAGATCTGAAAGATGTCTGTAGATATTTCAGAACTCTATCTTCCATTTCTGGTCTGGAGCAGATATTCGTCAGTCCTAGACAAATCTGGAGTCCCATTCACATTGTATACTGTCATTCAGAGATAACAGCTCACAAGAAATGTTCTGGTGAGGGCAGCAAGCTGTGGTCTACCCAGCTTTGCTAGAAAGCATGAGCCTAGAATAAGTATCATCCAGCAAAGAGCAGCCACAGCAGTGAGGATATCTCGGCTTTTTATCTTAGGTTTTCCAGATGAACCCACAAAAACTTCTAGATGTACACTGTTTTTTAGGTTCAGTATTCTCTTTTTCTATTTCCTTCATTCCAATGGGTTGAAAAGATTCTACTGTTCATAGGAAGAGTCTAGACAGATTGAGAATTAGGCAAATTGAACGGCAGACAATTTGTTGGTCCAGAGCTGCTGCTTCCTTGTGCAAGATCTGGGTCTCCAGACCAGAGAAAAGGAGAGGAAGGGGCTGCACTGTTTCACAGCCTCCTTCTTTTTGTTTCTTTTTAAAACTGCTTTGTGTGATGGGGAAAAAATGTAAGAACCTATTTAATGTGGCAGAATTTAATTACAGCAAGGCATGGTTTCACTATGATTTCTTTAACAGTTAATATTGTGCACTAATTTTTCATAAAGGACCTGAGACTCACTTAGATACATTTAAATTAAAAGATGAAAGACTGGGAACATATTTTATGAAGAGGAAATCTGAAACTATATCCTTCTCTCATGATGTTATCCTTGGAAAATAGATATTTAAATTATTTATAAGCTCTATAACAAATATTTTGGAAGAGCAAATCATTGTTGCAGTAAGAAAGGAAACAGAAGAGAAACAAATACAATTATGTTACAATTCAAGAAAATAATCTGATAGATGCTGAGTACATCCTGAGTAAAGCTGAATGCCCTAAGGTTTATTGGCATGGATGGAACTAAAAGTTGCTTACTGCACTGAAAGATCAAAATCCAAAAATATACCAAAACAAAATGTTTTGATCCTGAGATGGCAAAAGTTTTACACTGAACTCTTGATAGCTTCTTTTAATCAAGCATTCAGCTGCATCTGCTATTATGAAAAAGTTTGAGGATGACTCCAACTTCTGATATTAAGTGTAAGCTTTTTTGTTTTCTTGGCTACTTTAGGTGTGGGAAAAGCACGTCCTTTATTTTCAACATGCATGGGATTACACTTAGCAAAACCCTGGAGAAAGATGAGAAGTAATAAATCTACTGATAACAGTGTTTGATAGTGGTGAGAAACTAGCAAGTTAAATATCATATAAGGTGAGCAAGAGAAAGGAATGAATCCACATCCATCCTTCAAGAGTGACTTAAAATCTAAACCAGTTCTTTGATTCTTAGGCACTTCTCCAGTACTCTTAATATTCCATTAAACTTAACCAATCTGACATGGTTGAGAATATTTTTGAAGTAAGAAAGCTATCTATTGATTATCAAGTCTGCTGTAATGCTGTAACCCACAGAGACAAAACATTGCTGGGAAACAATAAGAGCTGGAGGGCACCTGGATTGCACAGAGGAAGAAGGAGGAGTACTGTGCCTTCTGCTGCTATCTGGTTTAAATTGACCACTTAAAAGCAAGGTTTGATACATGCTTTGTTGGAAGGAGTGGTGAAAGAACTCTGCAGAGACTGAAGAAGGTGAAAAACAAGAATAAACCTCTCTAATGTTCAAAGAGCATGAATGTGCTGAAACTAGCATAGTAAATATAACTGAAAAGATTTTCACGATGTCTGAAAGATGATCTTCTATCAATATTTAGTGGTCCAGACAAAACTGAACCAGAATCTTCTTTTCCAAACAATAGTTAATTATGAGAAATTTGTTGGAAAAATTACTTTCTTTTCAGTCACCCCAAATTCGTACATAAGTTTTTTATGCCCCTCCAAATTGGGAAAAAATAGAAATTATATTTTTTCTTATGATTTATGCATGATTATGTAAATTGACATAACATGTTGATACCAAAGCAAATAGTTAAAATTCAGGATTTTGAAGTAACTTCTAGCAAATTTTAAGAGCTATTCAGATCAAAATAAGCATGTGTTCCACCCCAGAAGTTTGTTACTGTGGAGCTGATATTTTTAATAATTTTTAATAATATTTAATATCTATGGTCTTTTTTTTGTTTTTCCTCTCCATTGCTCATTGTGAAATGCACATGATCAATGCCCTGAAATTCCCACTGATGTGAAGTGTGCTGGAGTAGGCTAAATTGCAGAAAAGGGCACTCATAGGAGGTGCACAACGCAGGAGTACAATTGTCTAAACTGCTCCTAATTGCTCAGCAGATAGAGTGAAGCTATCTTTCAATGCACACAAACACATTTTAGCTCTAACACATCTGATCTCTTCTTGCCTCCAGCCTCTGTCAGGGAAATTTGCTAACTATATCCCATGGGAAAAGTCACATGAATTTGACTCAACTCCAGCTCTGACAACTGGGATTCCCTGCAGTCGCAATTGCTGTCGCTCAAGTCCGGCTCTGTGTCTGCCCTGAAGAAAAGATTCACATCTTGCTGGGGAAGTATGAAAATTGCTGACTGATTAAGTCTGAACCTTAAATGGTATCCAGAGAGCTGGTTAGCAATGCAAAGTGAATGATAATGCATACATCAAATGTGTGTGCGGTTGCCCCACAATTGGAGATGGACAGTAAAGAGTAGAGTGGAAATATGGGTTTCCAGTGTCGGAGAATTGGTACTTCCACAGATTAACTGCCTTTTTCTATACCATGTTTTATTTATTTCCCTGTTTAGAAGCACTACAGCAAGTTGTGCTGGTGAAATACCAGGGAGTTCTGTTGGACTAGGTACAACTAGTCTAGTCTGTCATTTTCTGTGATGCATTGATGAATGCAAGTCAACTATTATGGTAAAAGGAAAATTAGGGGGAAATCTAATTCACTCCTAGGAGTGGTCCATACAGTAGATTTCAGACAGGTGAATGATTAACTTCGTAGAAATTCACTGTATTTCTCTGAAAAACCTCATATTTCATTCTGATGTGGTACTCACCTAGTACTGCCTAACCTTTATTGGTTGGTTATGGTTTTTTAGTTAAATTATAGGTGAGTCCTCAGCATTTCACTGTGTCTACCACATGGCACTTCTATTAACTGTGTTTCAAAATCCAGTTTCTATAATGCGTCGGTTTGTAGATCCTTCCAGACCTCAGTTGTGTAACATCAGCCCTTAAGTGACTCTACAGACTCTCTGTCTGGTGCAGCTGTTTGTTAGGATCGTTGGGATTTCAAATGTCTTTCTGTATTAAGGGGAAGAATTAAAGGGGAAAAAAATAAAAAAATAAAAACCCTTGGCCTAATTAAGAAGAGTGAACTAGATTTAATGATGAACAATTTATTGCCAATTAATAGAGCTCATACATGGTAGCCAGGAGCTAGATAATTTATCATTAAAAGAATCTCCATTACACGTAAAATCCCTTTTCTCCTGATACAGCTAGCAACTGCACTTCACAATTACCATTTTTATAAGACTGATTCACCAGCAAACGAAGCTGTATTTCACAGAGCAGCAGCAAAAGTTGTAGGTGCTGCAAATGCTTAAATATCCAGGTTTACAGTTCTCAGAGTGTATGTACTTCACTCCATGCTTCTGTGCAGTCGTGACCTTGATTCCGAAGTCTTCATGGTTCAGTCACTAATAACTTCTTTATCCTTCTGGGAAGCTCCTTTAAAATGCTTTTAGTTAACACTGTCAATAAAATATATGGTCAGAAAGCAGTCAGTGAACACCCAAGAATGCCCCGGCTTGACACAAGAGGGAAAACACGGCTCCAAGGATAAAAGTGACGACCTTCAGCAAGCTGGTGGGAGCTGCAATTCAGGGTAGATTATGACCAGAATTAGTTTGATTTCTTGTTATTACCTTTGTGAGTCAGAAACGGAGAAATCTATGCTCTCCATAATGCTTATCAAGGTTATGCAGATGTATCAGCAGAACTGAGTTCAAGACTGCAAGGATGTCTGTTGGCAGACTTTTTAGTGATTCATCAGATGGCACTATTCCCAATGAGCTGTAGTCATGATGTCCCAGTGTGGTGTTCTGACTTGAGTTCCAGTCTGAATTATTGTATTCATGTTAAGGTTGTTCTGAAAGTAATGCCTCCTATTTATTTCCATGGAAACTACAACAGCTACAGAGAGCATAGTAACACTGTTTGGTAGATCATGTTCTCAGGTACAGAACACTCATTTTTCAACATAGTCACCACCATTAGCTATGCATTTTCTTCAGTGATGTAAAAGAGACTCCATGCCACACTTGTGAAAATCTGGCAGGAATGGATTCTCTGGCTGCGTTCTGTGCATTTATATTCATAAGACAAAATCCGTTGAAGATGGAAAGCCAAAGCATTAACTCACTGTACAGTGTACTTTCCTCATGAATGGAAAATGAAAACATATGAAGCTTGTCTGGGGAAAGAAACAATGAAGGGAGTAGCTTTCTTACCTATCCTTAAACAAGAAGAAGAAAACTAAAGTAATTCCTAGCTGGGAAATCTACAAATCCTTTGGGATTTGTTGAGACTGGGATAGATCTCTCACTGTAAGGCAACTTGCAGCTCCAACACATTTTCCAGCATGGTTTCTCCAGGCATTGTTCCTCTTCCTGAAGGAGGAAATTTTACTCTGTATTTCAGTCACCTAAGTAAAGTAAAGCTAAAAGCTACATTTTGCCTTATGTGGCCTTAAGAGGCAATGCTGAGGACAATAGCACAAAAGCTGAGCTTAACACAGTCAAGCAAATTCTGCAAAAGTGACCCAGTGCCATAAAAGAACAGTGGGAACATTTGCAGAAGTATATCAAGAAGGCAGATGGGAGGTGGAAATTGAGTCTCATGTAGATAGAAACAGCCAGCTAAAGAGTGCTTTTCGTCCCATCTGATGGAAGGAGTGAAAGATGTCATCAACAGTGTACTTTCTTGGTGCTAGGTATTACTGGGAAGTAAAACTCAGACCCTCCCTTGTGGAGTTCTCCAGGTTGAGAATGTCCACATTCCTTCTTGAACAAAGCAGGGTCCTTCAGATTGCCTTTATGACCCAATCCAGAGCTCTTTATCTCATAATGCTTGCATTATCAGGGCAGTACAAACAATAGACTTTTAAGAAAGATCTTCAGACATCAGAAATGTCATATTTCTATCAGTTCTTTGGCATTTATAAGGCAGTTTACAACACTAAATTGTATTTTTAAAATATTTTCCACCCCAAATATTCAATAGAGAAGAAAAAAAAAAAAAACAAAAACATTTCTTTTCGTCACATAAGACCTCTTTAAAAAATGAATATATCTGTCAACAGAATGCAAGGTGTTTTTCAGAAGGTAAAAATTCTAACTTCCTCTGTTATACAATACTAGCAGAATATGCATGTTAGCAGACTAACATAATCAGAGATAATTAATCTCATCAAGGTAATAATGAGACAAACAGCTGCATTGATCTGTGCAGAGATGACTGATGCAACAAACGAGGTTAACACAGGTCACTCACAAAAACACACAGACAATAGTGGGACAAGAAAATTCAGATCTGGAAATATTATCTGAATCTAAATTTCCAAACAGACTGCATTTTCCCCTTTCCTCTGCATTTAAAGATCTCACTCTTTTAATATATAATTTTACAATAATTTATGAAAATGGAAAGCAGTGTAGAATGCAATCAATCATTCATGCTTCTGAATGAAAACCCAGAAATAGCAATGCTGTTCTGCAACTCTGTCAAGAACTGCTGCTGACATCATGTTCGTCCTGCCATCCTGATGAACTTTTTGCCTCATCAGCAACTAAAATAAGCTCTTACTTCACAAAAGCTTTACATTTAATTGTGGGTTTCAGCCATTTATAGGAAGGGAGGGAGGAAACATATTACAAGACTATGTTAATTCTTTCCTTTGATCCAGTTCAACATTGTCTTCAATATCAATGGGAAATTATAATGCGTAAATAATAATAGACAATTTAAAGAAAAATACTGACAAATAAAAAAAAAAAAAGTGTCTCAAAATAATGTATGTTTCCCTGTAAATAATAATAATGATAATAATAATAATAATAATAATAATAGTTAGAATTAGAATTAGAATTAAAATTAGAATTTCAAAAAAATACCACTGTTTTCCCAAACTAGAACTATTCTTTTGGGAAAGTTCAATTGTGACTGATATTTTCAATTTGGATTTTTTTTTTTTAATTCGAATGAGATCAAAGAGAATTACTGTATATGAAACTAGTTAGCATTATAACAAACAACACGTGATAAAAGCCCCAAAATAAAAATTTCATTTTTTTCCTTTTTTTCACCAGAAAAAAATGAAAATCTTCCATTTTGTTTTAATTCAATTATTTATCTTTTTTTATTTTCCTATTTCCGCTACCATCAAGAAATTGATATTTATTCAGTTTTATGATTAATGAAAAAGTGTGATCCTACTAAGCTCCCCAAAAGAAACTTAACAAAGGAAACAAAATTTTGAAGAACATCTCTAACAGTTGCAGGAAAAGATCTACTGCAGGAGCAAAGAGATGAGTGAATACAGAAGCCACATTAATCCAGTTGATGGCAAGCTGGCATGGACAGGCCACAGCTACGTCTGCCTTTTGCATATGGCAGTGAAACAAATGCTGAGGAAGAGACTTTCCACATGTTCACATTTCTCTATCAAAACCCAGACTGTAAGACTCATGGGTGCCTTACAGAACATCATAAAGGGAGAAGATGGCATAGCGATACCCTTCACGAGCAAAATCTTCTTGAATAGTGGAACAAAGTGCAACCTTACCAAGCACTGCACTGTGAGACAGGTACATCATCTGTCAAGTAAATGAGACAAACCATAATGGCATTTCATGATTTTGGAGAAACAGAGGCTCAGGGCAGACCTTATCACTCTCTACAACTTGCTGAAAGGAGGTTGTGGTGAAGTGGGAGTTGGTGTCTTCTCCCATGTAACTAGAGATAGGACAAGATGAAATGGTCTCAAATTGTGCCCAAGGGGGGTCAGGTTGGGTATTTGGGTATTTTTTCTCTTAAAGAGTGGTCAAGACTGCAGTGGGCTGCCCAAGGAAGTGGTTGAGTCATTATCCCCAGAGGTGTTCAAGAAAATTTCAGATGCTGTACGGAGGGATAAGGTTTATTGGGAAATATTTCTGATAGGTGGATGGTTAGACTGGATGATCTTGGAGGTTTTTTCCAGCTTCAGTGATTCTATGATTTGCCATGTTAGAAAGGGGTGTAATTTGCTGATAGCCCAAACCTAGGTTGCTTTAAACTTCTCTTAATTCTCTTAAACTTCTAATAAGCTCAAAATACCCTCTGTCCAGTGTGAATGCATGGATCCAACCTCAAAATACAGTGAGCTTCTTAGACAATAGGGCTCTGTTTTTTAATATCCTAATAATTTTAGTATCCTGTCAGTCTGAAGCTAGTGAAGTTTCCTTTGGCAGAGACTTGTTCTGAATCACGCCCTACATGTGAGGGAAAAAATCAGAGCCTTCACAGTTTGGGAAAAAGCTGTGTGCCTGAGAAGTAAGTGTGCCCACATCTTGAGAAATGCTGTAATCTTTTTGCTAAGATTCAAGATGCTTCATTTCACTTCAGAAAATCTACCACTGGATAAATTTTACTTATATAAACAAAATTTTTTTTATTTGCATTCCTGCCTATTACTATTGATCCTGTTCATTCACAATTTTCAAATTCTCTTAGTTGAGTAAATTGCTTTCAACAGACTAAATTTTCCTGATATTTCTTCTACTCTATAGAGATTTGGCAGATCAATTTTTCATAAGTTCGGTGTCTTGCCCTAACTGATTTCCAACTCTATATATTAGATTAGTGAACATCTGAAAAAGAAACATTCAAAAAACTCTTTTGTTGATGCACTCAGTTCAGGAGGTTGACAGAATAAAGATGTGATACAAACTTCAAGTCTTACTCTGTCAAAAAAAGCAAATGTAGCGGCTTTTGATGAAAAGTTTCATTATGTGATTGCATAGAAAGAGTGATTATTTTGAGATAATTCTTGAATAAATGAAGCTCTGTCTTCTAAGGAAAGAACAAAATAATTTGGGGAATATTATAGTTTTTATTTGCTTATTTATTTCTGATTAAATATTAGCTCACTAAATCTCAGATCTACATATGTAAATAGAATTAGCAGAAAACTCATTTTTAAATAGATCGGCTTCTTCATAAATTGTTCAGGCCACAAACCTTTGGGCAGAAACATCTGAAGTTTTCTAAACTTGTGTCTTAATTTCAGCTGGAATGGAATTGTTTTCTTCAGAGTGTCTGGTATGATGCTATGCTTTGGTTCTAGGAGAACAATGATGTTGATAACACATTGATATTTATAGTTGCTGCTAAGCAGTACTGTACAGAGTCAAGGCCATTCTCAGTGAAAGGCCAAAGGAGCTGGGAATGAAAAGAATTAGGAAAGTTGTCTTAAACTGGCCAAAGGTGTATTCCATACCAGATAACATCATGAAAAAGGAGTTTTGAAAGGAATGAGTGTTCAACTTTTTTTCTTCCGCTGCTGGACCCACTTCCACTAGGGCATCAGTTGGTGAGTGATGAGCAATTGTTTGTGCATCATTTGCTACATAGATTGATGTGTATATATACCTACATGTATATTATCATAACTATTATTGCTTTCCTTTTCTCTATCTTAGTAAATAGCTATATCTCAACTCTCTAGTTTGATTTTGTTGTTGTTGTTTTTTATCCTCTCCCACATCCCACTAGGAAGGGAAGGAGTAAGCAAATGGCTGTGTGTGGCACAGCCACCTGGCAGATTATACTACAACAACTTTAACGACTTATTTGAAGTCAGTGAGAGAGAGAAGAAGCAAGCTACTGCATTTTAACTGGCAAATTATAGAAAGAAAGAAAAAATCTATTTTTCTGGACTTTGACAGGAAATTTTCTCTATCTCATTTTACATTTTCCAAAGGTGAAAAAAAAAGTAACCTTCCTACTAATTCTAACTATAGTTTTATCTCTCCAGGAGATAAGAAAGATACTGAATGATTTGGAGACAAGAAGGTATATTCCCATTACTTAAAAAATAAATTGTAACAGAAAAAGGTTCTCTACCACAGAGCAGTGCAACTGAAGCTAGGATCTGAATAGTATAAATTTCTGCCCATGCTTTCTTCTCTAGCACTAACATTAAACATGTGACACACATATGACACAGTGGCCCTGGAGAAAATGTATCTTGCAGCACTCCATGATCACAGAGAAAATCAGAATGCAATATAGTAAAAGCTATGAAGTGAACAGCCACTAATAGAGCTTGAATACCCATCCCCAGAAGAGAGTTATATTGGAACCAAAGAGATACTGAAGCCATCATATCCTAATGAGCATCTGGTCTGCTTCCTTGATCCTCTTTATGAAAGTCTGGAAATCAAACAGGCTGAGACAATAAAACTCCTTGTTTCATCAGCTTCTGTATAGGAAAGCTGAAACCTTTCGACGTGGAATAGAATAATGAACAGATCAAAGGGTGACCTGTTAGGAGCAGGATAGGGATACATGACATGTATCATGCGGATGAAGTCTCGCCATGTAAACTTTCACTGCAATGTGGTGTTGTGAACTGGCCTGCTGCATTACATGAGTTTCAGAGGAAGCTTTTGATCTGCATCAACAGTGGCCATCTGTAAAACAAACAAAAAGATTAAAAAATAGAATTATGCTTATTTCTCTATAAAATTCATGCTTGGCAAGCATCTGTTCCTGAACTCACCCAAATTTCTTCACATAGATCTGCAGAGAGCTGTGAATTAATGTGAATCACAGTATGGCCTGGGTTGAAAAGAACCACAATGATCACCTAGTTTTAACCCCCCTGCTATGTGCAGAGTCACCAAGCACCAGACCAGGCTGCCCAGAGCCACATCCGGCCTGGTCTTGAATGCCTCCAGGGATGGGGCACCCACAGCCTCCTTGGGCAACCTGTTCCAGTGCGTCAGTGTCCTCTGCATGAAAAACTTTCTCCTAATGTTTAAAATGAACCTCCCCTGTCTCAGTTTAAAACCACTCCCCCTTGTCCTGTCATTATCCACCCTCATGAACAACCATTCCCCCTCCTGTTTATACACTCCCTTCAAGTACTGGAAGGCCACAATGAGGTCTCCTTGGAGCCTTCTCTTCTCCAAGCTAAACAAACTTATGAAAGCAATTATTGTATTTCAACATTATCTTTTAGTCCTAAGAAGGAATTAAGAGTCACTGATAGTAATGTTGTGTTGCTCTATGGATAGAAGCAGAAGGCTGTGATTCCTAATTCCACCAGTCTTCCAGGAGGTTCACAGACAACACTGGCTAGATATTGTGCAGTGAAACCTGTACAGCAGGAATGTCTCAGCTGCCAGAGAGGCTGGCACCTCCAGTTTCTTTAACCTTATATTCATTCAAATTGGAAATAACAAAGGGTTGCTTTGGATGCTCAGAATGTTCAGGTCTTGCTTTGGACCCTGTGAATGCTCAGGATGTTCAGGTTATGACTGGATGACTTATAGAATTTCTTCAATATATTGGAATTATCCAATAGAGACTAAAATATTCAGTGCAGTCTGATAGCCTTGTATGAGCATTCTTCTCAATTTTAATACACACTGTCCAATGGAAGAACGGAAAAATAATGCAGTCAGTTCCTGACCTACCCAGTTCCTTGGTCTGCCATTTGAGACTCTAATATCTGGCTCTTTGCAAAATAATCCTAATTCTGGTACTACCATCCACATCTGCTTCGACTAAACTGAAAACCTCTCTAAGAACCGATGAGGCATACTCAGTGGATCTAATTAAATTCCTATACCATTTCCTTTGAAATTGGCAAACTGCAGTTCTTATCTTGTATTCATTCATCCCCAATGGTGGTGCTGTAATTTTAGCAGGAGTATACTTAAGCAGTAAAACAGGGCAGCATAACAGCCATGCTGAGATTGAGCCATATATTGAATTGCTAGATTGAAAACTGAAGACCAGGTACACCAGACAGCTGAGAAGTTGTTGTGTTTTTTTGAAAAATGTTGAAGTGCCTGAAGGAGATTTTAAATTAGCCCTGTGTCAGTGCTCTGCAAAGTTGAACTCCTAGAGAAGAATGAAACTGTATAGCATGATATTAAGATATGTCATACCAGCGTGAGAATCTGAATACAGGAGGCTACCCTGACTGTTAGCAAAGGTACATTCAGTCCATCACCTACACTCCATCAGTGACAGGAGTTATGTACAGGCATATAATAAGTAGATGTTTACATAACTTCCTCTGTATGCCCACAGCTTCAACGGATTGTGGTTCAGTGACTTCCCAATTGAAATATCATGTCTTTGTGACCAATGATACTGGTTTTAAAGGCCCTTACAATGCGTGTGTATAATAAACACGCTCTAAAGTATCTGTTTTAGACAAAGAGATCATTGACATTACAAGAGAAATCAGGTTTAATTATATTTTTTGTCTCTGAAAAGAGAAAAGAACCCTGTGCTCACTTTTCCTCTAGAGATCATGAGAATTTCATAGTGCTGACTATGCACTGTGAGTATATCACTAATTTATAATCATATCATCATAAACAAATTGTTTATTTTTAATGAACTCAATATCCTAGAGCCAGCAGATGTATCTGTGTAATTTTATTTTTCTTTTTCAAGAGGAAAGGGCAAAAATAGGGCAAAAATTGTAATTTTGCTCTGCAAAATACAACTCAGGATGAGTCTTTTGCTTTCTTCCCCAAGTAAACAGATGTGAACACAGCCAATTTTTCTAACACCAGAAGCATAGCCATGGCTGTTCTTTTATCTATTGCTCATGAATCCAGGTGCCTCTTGAGGACAACCTGCTACTATTGATTGTCTTGCTTTGGATTATTTGTTTTACAATTCTATCGGGTAATTTTGCAGTGATCTGTATAAAACTGTGAGCTGCTTTTTTATAATCTCAAGAGGCCACAGATTGAAATTTATTAAATACCATTCATAAGCAGCTGTCACCTGTTTTGAATGCTCTTAGAGCATCACTAAAGTAACCAGTAAATTATCTAACCATGTGTATAAATGTATGACCTGTAAAGCAAACACTGTATAATAAGGAGTCATATATATATATTTCTGCATAAATTCACATGGCAGCCAACAACTAGGAAATCAGTTTAAGAGAAAAAACCTGCACCACAAAATTTCTAGGGCTGGCAAGCCTGAAATTTTCAATTTTGCAGTTCTTGTTCAAGTCACTTCAAAATTTCTACTTCAGTTTCATGCTCTGTAAAATGAACCTTGCAACAATATTCTATGGATTCTTTATTTTATATGTATTAGGCTCTGAAACCCTAATTTTGGCTAGTTAAGCATTATTAAGTGTGGATAAATATATTTGCCTCTGAAAATATTAGTAGGTAGCCTCGATTATTCTAACAGAATAAAGAAAACTTCCCCTGCTATTTTGCCTGGAATACTATTTTGTCTATGCTTAGAGGGTCTTTCTATAAGCTTTCTATAAGCTAGACCACAAGTTCTTGAAGTTTTGAGAGTCTTACTCTGCTTTCAGTAAATTCAGTGATTGATTTCACTGTGAACACACTGCTGAGCATTTTTGAGAATTCGGCTTTGGAAAATAGAATCTAATTGAAATCCTTATAAGGAGAAAATAACAACTGTGCAGTCATACAGCCATCTCACATAAGGATCGGTTGTTAATGTTTGCAGCATCATGTGGAATCCCACTGCAAGGAGATATTTGCCAGCAGCCTTTGCTTTGTGTCAGCCGTGTTTGAGGTATTCTACATACCTTCTTCTGCTATGGAGGATTTGCATATACATAAGGAATCCAACTCATTGTGACTGGTTTCAACAGTCTGACTCTATGCAGCCAAATTTGGCGAACTTAGTATTAAATGCCTTAAAAGCAAATGAGCTACAATGATGTAAGCTGTTAATGATTAAAAATAGTTATATAATTAGCCTCAGTTTTCACAAAATGCATGCAAACTACATGCAGATCTCAGTGTTTTAGATAACACCTTACCTAGAGAGAGACAAAATAATGCAGAACTTGTAAAGGGCTCTGTTCTTTTAATAAGAATGTTGTTGAGTACTGAAATATTCTTGGTGTGTTATTCTACTTCTGGCAGAAAAACACAGTTTCTTGGCTGGATTCCCAAATATTAAGTTAGAAAACACTTGACATTGTGTGTGACTGGACTCAATTTCAGCACAGTATAAAAGTATTCAAGGACTTATTTTTAGGTTTGCCATATTAATAAAGTAACAACATTTCAAGCATGAACAGCAATATCTGTCCCATCTAGAAAGGCTTCTGTATCAATTACTAGACTGCATAGAGGAGGTTTTGCCTAGTTCCGTTAAACCTCAATTTCAATAAATAAGTTGAGTAATTATTAATTAAACTACTTGGCACAGCTTCAAAAGGTCAAACACTGACCGAGCTCTGAGCTTCCAGGAGTAGAGTTTAAAAGTCAGAATAATTATAAAACCTTCCAATATCCAATCTATTAAAAATATATTAAATAAATATTATACAAAAGGACAGAAGGAGCTCCCAATAATTACTACCGTAATTTTGTTCTGGTTGATCTCTCCCTCTTTGTCACTCACTACCTTCAGACACTTCTAGTAATTTTACCAAGCAGTATCAGAAAACTTCATCAATCCAGATGTACTGCAACACAGAAAGAAATGAGGAGGCAAAGGCTGGAAAAGATCTGGTGAAGTTTACACTCATATGGGACTAGAACTAGTGCAGAAGCATCTGTGAGGGCCTGGAACTCTGAAGATTCTCCATGATACTCAGTAACAGCCTCATGGGGCAACTCAGCAAAGTGACTTCTAGAGCTCCTTCACTGGGGGGTGGGGGGAGGAGGGGTTGGAGGTATCTGGTGCGTGTCTTGGATCATGAGGAAAGCAGGACTAGACCTAGGAATGCTGTTAAGAGGTCTCTTCTGGAGACTATGAAGAAAAAAATTCCTAGAGCAGATACCATTGTTACAGATTTTTCCAAACTTTTTGTTGTAACATTGACAAGGCACCTTTCTCCCACGCTTTTTGAAGACTTCTCCCCTCCACCCCCTAACCCTCCCCCCCAAAAAAAGAAATCAAGTAACTCTTGTTTCTTTATAGGTGCCTCAACTAAAATGCAATTTTTTCTTTAGCAGTGTTGATAGGCAATTTCCCCATCTCTGTAGAAATGAACATCTATGGCCACAAAATACATACAGTTCCTAGAGATGTTGTGTCAAAAGTCAAAAGTGCTCAGCATCTCCCAGGAAAGCTTAATGCCACCGAATCCTTCTTTTCATGTCAGTTATGCCTTAATTCACCGTGCACTAATTTAAAGTATAAATATCTTTGAGCTCTGATTTCTAATCATGTAAATGAATCAGTGTCCTGGGGAATGCAGTATTCCTTCTTTTCACTTGCACTTTTACCACTGTATATCTATTATTTTACCCAAAATGGTTATAATGTTAATAGAGGCAAAACATGAAATATTGAATCAGAACAAACAATGTATGTCCCTTGCTTTGAGGGTAATAAATATTTTTCTTAGTTATATTACAACATACTTCTCTGTTTTATGCAGTCACTTTGAAATAATTTCTTCCAAACAAAATCAATTTCCAATCTCTGCCACTGT